TTTACTATCGTATCCATACGACTTTGTGAACTCTGTACCACCACTTTCAAAGGGTTAGCGATTATGTTCCTTAAACATGTTCAATTTTTCAACCCATCAAAAGTTGTTCTCATGTCTGCTGATGTTTCATTTTTGCCAGGTGTCTCTGGTTTTTGTGATGTGCCAGCATCAAAGGTCTAGATGTCTTTTTAAAATTTGTTATATATTTTTAAAAACATTTTTCTTCCTCTCTATACAGTTGAAAGTTACAGAGATTATATTTTTGGGTTGTTTTTTTCTGACTGATGTGTATTGTTTTCTTTCCAAATGCACAAAAAAATTCTGATACTGAAATGTTCTGTTTTCAATTCTTCTGTACACAAAACATGGACATTCTTGTTGAAAAAGTGTAAAACATGTCGTGAATGGCTTTTCGGTAACTTGCATAATTTTTGGATAATTTTGCATTTGTCTTGCATAATTTGGCCATCTAAATTTGCAAACATTTAATTCTGCGGGGGCAGTTTAATGTAGGGAGAAAGACATGCACGTTTACAACGCCTTAAAGGTTTTTTTTTATTCGTAAGAATGAACATAAAAACTAGCAACTCTCTCTGTTTATCTCCAGATCACTACAGGAAAGACACGAAGCGCACCATGAGTATCGGTAAGTTTCTGAAGTAAAAGTATCATGATGCTATTCTTAGGCTTTCTTTGATCGAAGAGAACCTCAGTGCTAATCTTACGTAAGGCGATGGTACGGATTTAAGGGGAGGGGGTGGTGTGTGTGGTGGTTTATAAACCTATCTGGGTAACTATGGCCTTTAAAAAAAAAAAAAAAGAAAAAGCCTTATAGCAAGGAGGTATAACAGGAAAACATGAAATGTAACTTTAATTTTTTTGTTTAAATCTACGGTTGCCATGGTAACGGCTGCCATATTGAAAATAAACAGTTTTATAAAAGTAAAAAGGATTTTGTATTTACCAACAAATTTTGTTCAAATTTGGTCAAGTGATAGATATTCTCAATACAAAATTTTAGAAAGTTTCTAACATTAACTGGTTGCGAAGTATTAGATTTATTTCGAACTCAAGTGTACGAAGAGCAATTTTAAAGACTCTTGAAAAAGCTGCCCCCCGCGGTTTTATGCACACAAAAAAAGTCTAAAATTATGCAAACTGAGACCAAAAAAAGTGAAATTATGCGATTCTGTTAGTTTAACTAAGACTGATAAAGGAAAAGAATCAGAAATTATGAAAAAAAAACCCCGGAGTTGTATTCCTCACATTTTAGAATACTTCTAGTACGAAGATCTCTTTCAAACTTTGAAACTTTCAGTATTTCTCATAAATTCATTTTGACAGACTGCTATGCATAGCAAAGCGTACTAATCGGATTAACGAGTAAATCTCCTCTTTGGAAAATGGTGGCACAGAGTTCCCCACTTCGTATGGATACGATAGTAAAACACGACGTAGGAATAAGGTTTGTGGTGGCACAGAGTTCCACATGTCGTATGGATACGATAGTAAAACACGACGTACGGATAGGGTTAAGTGGTGGCACAGAGTTCCCCACGTCGTATGGATACGATAGTAAAACACGACGTACGGATAAGGCTAAGATGATCCTAGATATGGGACTGCACGGTTGAAATGAACGCTCGAAAGAAAGTGAACGCTGTTAAATAATAATAATAATAATAATAATAAATGACATTTAATTTATATATCAAACCCGATTAAAGTAGGCCCACACATGCCCTGAGCGCTTTACAATACAGTAAACTGTACCACAGTAACATAAAACGTTGTGTTCTGACTAAAAGAAAACCACTCCAAATATTCATCTTATTAATTTAAAAATAGAAATGACTTCAGCTGTTAGAAAAAAAGAACACCCCCCCCCCCACAAACAAAAATAGCCAACTCTCCGTCAACTCAGGTTCAAAATGGATGGAATTGGATAAATCTACACCTAGGAACCAGCTCATTATACCCATTTCTCACAAACTTTTTTTGTTTTAGTTTTAGTAAGAGTTTTACGGCACTTGCAACACAATAATATCTTATAAACGCCAATGTTGACTTTTTATTTTTTCGTATTTTCAGCTTTGATTGGGTTCCGAGACACGTATTGGATGAGCGTGAAGGTATGTAGAATATTGTCTGAATCTGAGCCAAACTTTGTCACATGTGGTCGCTTTTAAGCACAAGGGGGCTATCCCGAAAAATACTGTTTTGAGAAAATCAAAGGTAAAGTTTTTGCCCTTTGTTCAGTTTCTTTAAAAAACAAGGAGAGTTTTCTCTATAACCAAACTCATGTTATACACACACACACCAACGAAACCAAACTTCTCCTATCCTATAGGTAGAGCAATGCCCACTTTTGGTATAGTTCAAGATTTCTGGAAACCTCTGAAATCTAGGTTAGTCCGCTTGTCCTTAAAAGCGACCATGTGAAATGTGGAATGGTACAGGTACAACGCCCCTGTCAACACTATCTGTCCCTGGGGTTTTATGCACCCCGCATAAATTAGCAAAATTCGATCATTTTTTGGGCATAATTTCTGATTATTTTCCTTTGTCATTCTTTGTTAAAATTAACAGAATCGCATAATTTCACATTTTTTTCCATTTTCCCCCACATGGCCAGTTGAGCGTTCACTGAGATCGTCCTTGACCCAGATTCCATCCCTGCGGTCACCGACGACATTGTCCAACCAGAACTTTCACTTTGATGAGGCATCGGTGCCGATGCTGGAACAAGAGACTAGAGAGCCATCATCATCTGTCGTTGTTGCTGTTGTTGGTGGTACATCATCATCATCTGCATTATCATCACCATCATGCACGGCTGCCGTGCGTGCAACAACATGTTCTTCTCCAAACTTTTTGGACGATCAGAATTTTACGCCAAATCCACCCAGCGATTGTTGTGGTAATTTTACTGCGCTGTGTGGTGTTGTGGAAGAAAAGAGCACACCGATGTGACGTGACCATTCTCCTTAGTTTTAGTAAATGTTTTACGGCACTTGCAACTCAATAAGGTTATGTATATCGGCGCCAATGCTGAAACAAGAGACCAGAGAGCCACCATCCATCGTTGTTACTGTTGTAGGTACATCATCATCATTGTCCTCATCATCATCAATGAAGAGTTCAGCCCATGTTGCCGAAGATGCGGCCATGAAAAGGAGGTGGTCAAACATATGTTTGAATGTCCAGGAATAATGGCAATTCGAATGGAGTTATTTGGACGAGTGGAGGTGCCGCTAAGTATATTGACAATGGGGCCGAAAAAGAGCCTCGCTCTCGCTCTAAGATTTCTTTGTGGAGTCCGCCAGGCCCATTAAGTATTAAGGAAACCAAAAAATCATCATCATCATAGGTAGCAGGGAATAAAAGAGGGGTTTGAGACTCAGTAGAGCCACCATCCGTTGTTGCTGTTGTTGGTGGTACATCACCATCATCATGCACGTCTGCTGCGCGTGCAACAACATGTTCTTCTCCGAACTTTTTGGACGATCATCATTTTATGTCAAATCCTCCCAGCGATAGTTTTGGTAACTTTACTACACTGTGTGGTGTTGTGGAAGAAAAGAGCGTGACATCGTTGTGACCACCATTCTCCTTAGTTTTAGTAAGTGTTTTACGGCACTTGCAACCCAATAAGGTCATATCGGCCCCAATGCTGGAACAAGAAACCAGAGAGCCACCATCCGTCGTTGTTGTTGGTACATCATCTTCATCATCCTCCTCCTCATCACCACCACCCTCATCATCATTGTAGGTAGCAGGGAATAAAAAAAAGGGTTTGGGTGAGACTTAGTAGAACCGCCATATGTCGTCGTTGTTGCTGCTGTTGTTGGTACATCATCTTCATCATCATCATGCACGTCTGCTGCGCATGCAACAACATGTTCTTCTCCAAACTTTTTGGACGATCATAATTTTATGCCAAATCCTCCCAGCGATAGTTTTGGTAACTTTACTGCACTGAGTCGTGTTGTGGTAGAAAAGAGCGTGACATCGTTGTGACCACCATTCTTCTTAGTTTTAGTAAACGTTTTACGGCACTTGCAACACAATAAGGTCATATAACGTGCCGAAGATTGTGTTAGTGTTTTACGGCACTTGCAACACAATATGGTCATATAGACCCTACATGCCGAAGTTTGTGTTAGTAGTAACCTTGTCTTTTAAAGAAACTGAACAGGGGACAAAAACTTTTATGTTTTCTCAAAACAGCATTTCTCGGGACAGCCCCCTTGTGCTTAAAAGCGACCATTTGTGGTTATTGTAACAATTTTCCTTGCCTTGATTATTAATTCACATGCTGTTCATCAAACGTTTATGTGCTTCTATTATGACATTTTTGGAACAATCAATTATTAGAGGTTGTCCTAGTTATGATACATGTATTAAAAGAAAAAAAAAATTCATTGTCAATTTTTGTCACATGTATTCCACTCGAGAAATTGTAACCCCTTGTACTTGTATGCAGCGCATTAAAATTTTATAATATTTGAAGAAGATCCTCCTGCCCCTGAAACAAAAAGTTGTTTTATTTTAAAAGACACTGAATATAAGGTAAATTATAAATTGAAGTCATACCTCTCTCGGCGCTCATATGACCTTAGCAGTTGCGAGCGCCGTAAAACCTTATACTACTACTATACCTCTCTCAACCCAGAGAGAAAGAGAGAGAGAGAAAAAAAAGAGAGAGAGAGAGAGAGAGAGAGAGAGAGAGAGAGAGAGAAAAAAAGAGAGAGACAGAGAAAGAGAGAGAGAGAGAGAGAGAGAGAGAGAGAGAGAGAGAGAGAGAGAGAGAAAGAGAGAGAAGAGAAACGATAAAAGATGCGAGCTACATGTATCAGTCTGCAGTTTCCTCATCTAAACACAGGTCACACAAAAAAACCAAGAACCCAGAACAAAGTATTCCTTCAGTGTTTTAATTGACAATACCAAAGAACAAAAAGATGTCTTTCCTCCTGATTGATTCACACTTTCAGATCCAGAAGATAAATAAGCTTACTGGGCCACACATATCATGCCTACTCCACACATGTCCTTTTCGTTTTAGTTTTAGTAAGAGTTTTACGGCACTTGCAACACAATAAGGTCATATAAGTTCCGAAGATTAGAGGTGTTACAAGAGAGTAACAAGCACAAAAAAGAAGGAGGAGAGATAAATACGATAGATGTTTCATAGGAAAAAAGAAGCAAACCACACCAGAGCACCCGCCAACCACCCACAAATTCTCCAAGTTAACAGAAGTACGATAATTGATAGTTTTGCGCCCGATGCCAATATCAGAAAAGCAGATTGTTTAATTGAACAATTCCCCACCTCAAGTTGGTGATCAGAAACTTACTAGATCTAACTAAGACTGGAACCAAACAAACCTGGCTGCATGAAAGGGTCAAAATTTACACTCACATCCTCACAGACTCTCCTTTCACAACAAAATATCACAGACCCACTCAAACACCCATTCTCAGATGTGCACGTACACACACACACACACACACACACCCACGCTCAGTCAGTCCCAGACACACACACACACAGTCACAGAAGCCAAAGTTTATTTTCTGTTTTTCTTCTTCAGCATCTGCCCCTGGCCAGAGAAAGCCTCAAACACCAACTCTCACATGCGCACGTCCACACACACTGTCACAGACACAAACACACACGCTCAGTAACACACACACACACACCCCCTCAGTAACACACACACACAGTTACAGAAGCCCAAATTTATTTCCTGTTTTTCTTCTTCAGCATCTGCCCCTCGCCGGAGAAAGCCTCAAACTGTTTGTCGTCGTCCTCCTCCGAGTGACCGTTGGTGGCCGGCCGCACGCTGCGGATAAAGCTGATTGTCCCTCGCTTGAAGTTGTAGTTGGGGATACCCCTGGGAGGAGAGAGAAAAGAACGCCTTAAGACGCACAGAAAGCCTGTAGTAGTTGGGAATATCCCTGAGAAGAAAGAGAAAAAGAACGCCTTAACTCTTTGACCATGCAATTTAAAATCACATTTCCGCGTAATTCTCTCGTGTTTGTGGAAATGTGACCTGACTTATTACTTTTTTAAAACCGCTTGTTTCGTGTCAAACTGATCAATAAAGCATAACCCAGAAGTAGAATTCATCTTTGACTTCCGGGTCAAACTAAAGGCTTGTCAGCTCGTACTTTTTTATATTCGACGCGTACCATAATATAATACAATAATAACTTCGCATCGGACGGTGGTACCGTCCAGCCATGGTTAAAGAGTTAAGACGCACAGAAAGCCTGTAGTAGTTGGGAATACCTCTGGGAAGAGAGAAAAAAGGACTTCTTAACCCTATCCGTACGCCCTGGGGTCATTTTGTACCCCCGGGGTTGTATTCTTCACACTTTAGAATACTTCAAGTACGAAGATCTCTTTGAAACTTTCAGTATTTCTCAAAAAACCATTTTGACAGACTGCATACTGGTCGTATTAATGAGGAAATTTCCTCTTTGGAAAATGGTGGCACAGAGTTCCCCATGTCGTATGGATACAATAGTAAAACACGACGTACGGATAGGGTTAAATGGTGGCACAGAGTTCTCCACGTCGTATGGATACGATAGTAAAACACGACGTACGGATAGGGTTAAGACGCACAGATAGCAGGTAGTTGGGAATATCTCGGGGAGGAGAGAGAAAAAAGAACGAAGTAAAAGACGCACAGAAAGCCAGTAGTTGTTGGGAATACCCCTGGGGAGAGAAAAAAAGAGGACGTCTTAACCCTTCCATCCCCAGCCATTTTTCCGCAACTCCCTAACCTCAGTCCCAGGTAAATACAACAGTATTTCACAAAAAGAGGCGAGCATTTTAAAAAGTGGTGTAGTGTCCTTGTTATAAGGGTTTAGTTGATAACATAGAACAATGCTGAAAGGTAAATGAACGAAGATTTAGAAAATTTAAGTTTAATTAGGTTAGCTGCCAGTTCGAAACAAGCGCAAATTCGGTACACCCCCCACCTCCCAAAACTGAAAATGTATGCTCTTGGGACAGGTGGCGGTTCGAGAGCGGCTAAGAATATACGCTCTTGGGACAGTGGGAGGTACAAGCGCTGCTGAAAATATACGCCCGCGGGGCTGGAAGGGTTAAGGCACAGAGCTTCCTCTCAAAAGATTTTTTGTTTTAGTAGAGGTTTTACGCGCTCGCCACTGCGTAAGGTCATATGAGAGCCAAGGGGTGGGTGTGAACAGAGAAGTCCTTACAGGGAATCAGACTTACTCTGCTCACCTCTCTAGCTTCAACACCACAAAGTCTGCTTCGACTATCAAGGCACCCCGGAAATAGCGGGTCACAAGAGTGTGACAAACATACAAAAGAAGTAGAGGAAAATGACGATAGTAAGGATTAGGAAAGAAAAAGCAGCAGTCCCCTGTTGCAGTTCAGGCACAGTTCGGAGCTTGACATTGTTGGATCAGCCCATTTACAATTCTACTGTGCATTGGAACGAGAAATGGCCCCCATTTGGGAAAGGCCTAAAGACACTTCAGTCAGTGGCACCACCCCGGGGGGTTTTAGCAGAGGTTTTACAGCGCTCGCAACTGCATAAGGTCATATAAGTGCCAGAAGATTAGAGGTATTCATTAAAAGGGAGTAACAAACATAAAAAAGGAGGGGAGATAAAGAAGATAGATGTTTTTAGTTTAGTTTTAGTAGAGATTTTACGACACTCGCAACTGCATAAGGTCATATGAGCGCCAGAAGACAAGAGGTGTCACAAGAGAGTAACAAACATAAAAAAGAAGAAGGGGAGATAAGGACGATAGATGTTTGATAGGAAAGAAGAAGCAAACCACACCAGAGCACCCGCCAACCACCCACAAGATAGATGTTTGATAGGAAAGAAGGAGCAAACCACACCAGAGCACCTGCCAACCACTCACCTTCTCTGTTGACCTGCCGCTGACCCAGAACCCGAGGCCATGTCTGTTCCTTTCTTCTTGCCGTCCAGCCTGTTGCCCTGGCCAGCGAAAGGCTGAAACAAACACCATAATAAAAAATGGTGTTATTTTCATAAACACAGAATCCCTTCTTTGCTCTAAACAATAAGGGAATATAACTTCACACTGCGATTAACAATTAGATAAATTAAGTATACACAGTATTCCTGCCATGAACTTCCCACCAAATTCAAGGAGATTTCAAGGAGGTTTCAAGGAAAAATTTAAAATATTCAAGATTTGGTCAAGACATTCATGCCGAAAGCCTATTTCCGACAGAAGGCGTACACTTGTCCGAAAGGAACCGTAGTGTCGATTTAGTGACAAAAGGTTTGCCATTAATGTGACAGCAATATTCTACCATTACAAGGTTTGACATTAATGGGACAGCAATATTCTACCATTACAAGGTTTGCCATTAATGTGATAGCAATATTCCAACATTAGAAGGTTTGACATTAATGTGACAGCAATATTCTACCATTAGAAGGTTTGCCATTAATGGGACAGCAATATTCTACCATTAGAAGGTTTGACATTAATGTGACAGCAATATTCTACCATTAGAAGGTTTGACATTAATGGGACAGCAATATTCTACCATTAGAAGGTTTGACATTAATGTGACAGCAATATTCTACCGTTAGAAGGTTTGACATTAATGGGACAGCAATATTCTACCGTTAGAAGGTTTGACATTAATGTGACAGCAATATTCCACCATTAGAAGGTTTAACGTTACAGCGATTGTACATCCCTCCCTGGCACTCACCACAAAGGACTGTGGGATTTCCATACTGTCTTCCTCCGGCTCCTGAGAATGATAAAAATAATTAAGTTTAAGAGTATGTTTTAAAAAAAGTTTTAGTAAGAGTTTTACGGCACTTGCAACACAATAAGGTCATATAAGTGCCGAACACTAGAGGTGTTACAAGAGAGTAACAAACACAAAAAAGGAGGAGGAGAGATAAAGACGATCGATGTTTGACAAGAAAGAAGAAGCAAACCACACCAGAGCACCCGCCAACCACCCCAGAGTATGGTTTAACAGCACAAATGACCCTGTTAGGCGCACACCATGAACTAATTTGGACTAACTGACTGAGGTCCATTACCCACAAACAGGATAACCCCAGACGTTTAGCACTCCCGCACCCACCCTTCAGTGTTCTGCGCCCCCCCCCCCCCCCCCTGTTTAGTTTAGTAAGAGTTTTACGACACTTGCAACACAATAAGGTCATATAAGTGCCGAAGATTAGAGGTGTTACAAGAGAGTAACAAACAGAAGGGGATAAGGACGATAGATGTTTGATAGGAAAGAAGGAGCAAACCACACCAGAGCACCCATCAATCACCTTCCGTTCAGATTTGAAAAGCACGATACACTGGGACACACAAAATATGTCACGACATGGTGGAATCAGGCGCTCGTCAAATTTTGGGTATGTGGAGTTATTGGTATCTGCTTAAAGTTTGTTCACTTGTCTTGCTTTCAATAGAAAAAAAATATCCAAATTTGTCTTGGATACAAGTCGAGAAATTGGCGACTGAAGGAGATGGTGTCACCTGGTTTCAGAGGTAAAATTAGCAAGAAAATGGCCGCCAAAGTTTAGCTATTTCCTTTGCTTGAGAGTCCGTGGAAACTGAAAATTTACAATTTTTGTGTGACTTAAATCATCAGGGTTTTTCAGTAAATTCACACAGAAATGTATGAAAGGTGTTGAGCCCCCAGGAAAAATGCCGGTTTCTTCTATTTCAGTAATTTGACAAGCGCCTGATTTCACCACGATGCCTCAACAATAGTCCTGAAAACTTTTTATCTCTAGAATTCTCCAACTTTCCAAAAAAATGTGACCCTAACGCTTCACTCACCTGCCCATCCAAGTGATCCATCGGTCGGATTTGTCTCTCCGGCTCCTTGTAACCCACGGGTGGGGCAAAGTCCACCTGAGAGAAAACGTGTCTGTTTTAGTAAGAGTTTTACGGCACTCGCAACACAATAAGGTCATATATTAAGTGCCGAAGATTAGAGGTGTTACAAGAGAGTAACAAAAACAAAAAAAGAAGGAGGGGAGATAAAGACGATAGACGTTTGATAGGAAAGAAGAAGCAAACCACACCAGAGCACCTGCCAACAACCCAGGGAGAAAATGCCACATACAGCAAATGGTTATTGTCAAAGATATGAAACCCAGATCCAAATGTTAAAAAATTACACCCCCCCCCCCCTTTATCAAGCCACTTATACATCCGGCTGATATCTGGCAACACCAGATACTTTGCCAGCAGACCCGCAGGTTCCTTTCAAGTTTCTTCAGGTGACCAAGAAAAAATTCCGTTCTAAAATTAAAAAAACAACAACAAAGCAAACTAATATATTGATCAAGTACTATAAGCAATATAACATTTTCACAATCAGTGCACCAATATTACGCGGGCAGTACTGCATAATAATAATAATAATAAATGACATTTATATAGCGCTCAACCCCGAATAAAGTACACAGGCTCTGAGTGCTTTACAATACAGTACAACATACAACAGTAACATGAAACGTTGTGTTCTGACTAAAGAAAATTATTCCAAATATTCATCTTATTAATTTAAAAACAGAAACGACTTCAGCTGACATTTGAATGAATCAAAAGATTTGATTTCTCTCAACGTACTTGGTAAAGCATTCCAGATCTTGGGGCCTTGGTATTCAAATGCCCTTTCACCCATTGTTTTAAGTTTCATAGATGGTAAAATAAATTTCTTTTTGTCAGCTGATGATCTTAAACTGCGAGTTGGAATGTACAGTCTTAACAGATTTGATAAATATGATGGTGCATTATCATTCAAACATTTGTGACATATGGTGGCCAACTTGTACACAATCCTTTTCTCAACAGGAAGCCAATGCAAAGTTCGTAAAAGAGGTTTAGCAGAGTCTCGCATACAGACGTAAGTCATTTTCAGTGGCCTCTGAGATACGTCTGTATGCAATACTGCCTGCGATTTGTCACATTCACGCTAGAAGTAGGAGCTTAATTTGAAACTGAATTAAGAAATAATGTTTTGTTTTGATTGTACACTCACCACTCTATGGTACACTGCATCATGAGCAAGAATAAAACTGCAGAGTTTAACCCTGTCAATACGTTGTGTTTTACTATCGTATCCGTATGTCGTGTTTTACTGCGCCACCACTTTCCAATAAAGAAATTTACTCGTTAATCCGATCTGTACGCTTTGCATAGCAGGCTGTCAAAATGATTTTTTGAAAAATACTCAAAGTTTCAAAGAGATCTTCGTACTAGAAATATTCTAAAATGTGAAGAATACAACCCCGGGGGTACAAAGTGACCCCAGGGCGTACGGATAGGGTTAACACAGCAAAACAAAAAACCTGGTGAATCATGAACAGGATTCCTACTTTTGATTTGGACATTCGTAGAAAGTACTTACCCTCATATCACACTCGATAATGGAAACAGCTTTGCCAGGCTGGCTTTCCAAGACGCACAGCTCGTACTCCTGGCAATATAAAACGGTTAAGTCAATGTTAACATGACCCTTTAGTTTTTTAGTAAGTGTTTTAAGGCACTTGCAACACAATAAGGTCATATAAGTGCCGAAGATTAGAGGTGTTACAAGAGAGTAACAAACACAAAAAAGAAGGATGGGAGATAAAGTAAAGACGATAGATGTTTGATAGGAAAGAAGAAGCAAACCACACCAGAGCACCCGCCAAACACCCAAACTTAACCCTTTCAACCCTGTTTCCCTGAGCCTACACAGAAAATCAAGACCAGATGTCATCACACCTTTCTCAAACTGGGCAGAATAACGGAAAGAATGCTTAGCACAAGCTGGATTACTGCTTTGTTCCATGAGTTACACTAAATTATGTTTTTTTGTTTTGTTTGGTTTTTTTAGTCCATCGCAAGAGACAAAAAAAAAATCAGGATATGCGTGATCAAAATCGGGAAAATCGGGATATCCAGACTAAATCGGGATGAGTGACAGGTCTGACCCCACCCCCCCTTCCCTCCAAAAAACAAAACAAACCCCAAACAAAAAGAACAAAACATTCTGAGCTCACCTTATCATTGTACTTGATGGCTATAACATCTCCTTGCGTCAAACATGCGAAATTCCTCAGAGCATTCTCCAGTCTAGCAGCAACATTAAGGAAACTATCGCTATAGAATGGATCGCGAGAAGAAAAACAACAACATTGCAAAAATCAACACCCTATAAAGCATTCTATTTCTAGGTTTATTCTCACAAATAAACAAAGAATGTTACCATTTTGAGACCAAAAAAGGTGTAATGTAAATGGGTTTTTTTTCAAGCATTTTTGTTTTAGTAAGTGTTTTAAGGCACTTGCAACACAATAATGTCATAGAAGTGCCGAAGATTAGAGGTGTGACAAGAAAGGAACAAGCACAAAAATGAAGGAGGAGAGATTTTAAGGACGATAGATGTTTGATAGGAAAGAAGAAGCAAACCACACCAGAGCACCCGCCAACCACTCACTTTTCAAGTATAACAGATACTTGTTTTCAAAAATGATATTTGTATTGACATGTGTACTGAACCTATTGATCACCTCAAAAGTCAGGAAGACTTACATGAGATAAAACCAGTCATCCCTGAGTAAAAATAATAAAGGTTTCATTAGCATATCTTTAGAAAAATAGAAAAAAACAAATATTGAGTTCTCTACAAAAGCCAAAATGGAAATAGAGAAAATAACCCCCTATAACCATCACGGGGGGGGGGGGGGGGGGGGGGGGGGGGAGGGAACTAGATGCTGTGTTTTATCACCGAGGTAAGGGTTAATTAAAACTCAAGTGCACTCTGTTCTGATGAATGAAGTCTACTGCCCCTAAAAATTGGTAAAGGAAAACAAATTAAAAAAAACCCCCAAAAATAGATTTTAGTGATGCAAGTTTCTTTTCGACAGATCACTAGCTAAAACAGTACTCTATCTAACACATACAACACAGCAGTGCCAAAGGATACACAGCTTTGGGATTAGTGATGTCCAGGAAGTCGACGGACTGCGGCTGGAACTTGGCGTATGTGGCCACGGAGAGGGACACGTTGTCAATCTGTATCAGCTCCCCTTCGTCCACGCACAGATTGCGCATCATCTGAAGACAGGGCACAATAAATGAACACACCATTTATTAGCGTAAATAAATAATAAATTTTGCACTAATAATAACGCTTAATTTTAAAATGTAAAATGCTGCACACATTTTTGCTGTTGTTGCTTCTACTAAACACAAAAGCGGCAGTAGAAATGGGCAGGTCCCCCCAAAATGATTTATGACTTAGTTCATCGCTAGAACACTCCTTTTTCAAACAGTGGTAGTGGACAATATCAATTTTTGTCTTTCTCTTTATACAAGACAAAGATATTTAGTTTAGTTTTAGTAGAGGTTTTACGCTGCTCGCAACTGCATAAGGTCATATGAGCGCGTCGGACACACCTAATATTTTCAGTTGAGAGGAAATTTTGAATGTTGCGTGGGTGGCGGCCGACGAAGTCTATTTGACAAATTCATGAGAAAGAGTTATTCTATGTGGGTTATTTTCTGCCATCCTTATACCTTATCGACAAAGCCAGTTTTGTTTTAGTAAGCCTTTTTTGACACTTGTAACATAATACGGTTATACGAGCGCCGAAGATTAGAGGTGTTACAAGAGAGTAACAAACACAAAAAAGAAAGAGGGGAGATACAAAGAGGATAGACATTTGATAGGAAGGAAAAAGCAAACCACACCAGAGCATCCGTCAACCACCCACAAGGAGGAGAGATAACGACGACAGATGCTTCATAGGAAAGAAGGAACAAACCAAATCAGAGCACCCGCCAACCATCCGCAGGGAAAACCATGAGGTTACGAACTCCTCTTACCGCTAATAAAACCATTATGGGAGACATGAAGTCAAAGCATTTGAGACTCACCCAGTACGGGATGTAGATTCTTCCTTCATCAGCCACAAACTCCAGCACACCGCAGTGCGTCTGTCTGTTGGACTTTTTGTTGGTCAGTTTGAACAGCATAGGATACTGAATGTTGAGGCGAGCTGAAACATACGGGCATGTGTGTTATTGAGGGTGGGAAAGTTTTAGTTTTAGTACGAGTTTTACAGCAGACTTGCAACACAATAAGGTTTAATAAGTGCCGAAGATTAGAGGTGTTACAAGAGAGTAATTGTAATTGTTGCAATTGTAATGAGATATAGATCTACAACAAAACATCAAAGAACACGTTAGGGAATACTTACTCAGCTGATCCAGCGCTGATGGCGGCATGATAACTGTGGTTGA